CACATCACCCTGGTGCCATTTTGGAGAATATCAGCTGGACGTAAACAACGTATGCTGTTCTGTGTCAGCTGTGTCACGCCGGATCTGTTTCCTATGTTGTTTGCGCTTTGATTTGAATGAAAACAACATATCCGCGTGACACAGCATACGTTGTTTACGTCCAGCTGATATTCTTCAAAATAGCACCAGGGTGTTGCAGAGGAGACGAACTGTTGAAGAAAGTCGTTATTTTTTTTTTCTTTGGCACACAAAAAGTATTCTCGTAGCTTCGTATAATTGCGGATGAACCACTGATGTCACATGGATTATTTTACAGATCTCCTTGCTATGTTTCTGGACTTGGGAACATTTTAGTTGCGTTGCTGTCTATGCAGGGTCAGACAGCTCTCAGATTCCATCAAAAATATCTTAATTTGTGTTCCGAAGATGAACGAAGGTCTTATGGGTTTGAAACGACATGAGGGTGAGTAATTAATGACAGAATTTTCATTTTTGGGTGAACTAACCCTTTAAGACTACCTTTTTCCAGTTATACATCAATGTATTGATCCTCTTTGATTATGTTCTGTGAGGCTGAATCAGTCACCTCTAGAGCGATATTAACTGTGGTTGTCATTGAGCAAACGGATTGCCTTTATCTTTGTCTGAGGTCAGATTCTGGTTCTCACATTGATAATGAGATCTGTCATGTTTCTGTCTGTAGTGTGGACGGCGAGGTGAAGCACTGTGTCATCTACAGCACACCCCGTGGCTACGGTTTCGCCGAGCCCTACAACTTGTACAGCACTCTGAAAGACTTGGTCCTGCATTACCACCAGACCTCACTGGTCCAGCACAACGACTCGCTCAATGTGCGGCTGGCGTACCCAGTGTATGCACAAATGCCCTCAGGCCCACGCAGATGAAGACTTGCCCCCCCCAAAATTAAACTCTCTATACTCATGGGAGGGGGGAACAGTTTCTGAACAAAAAACATACAACAACAACAACACAAAAAACACTTGCTGCAACACACACGTCAGCCACCTTGGAGTTATATATTTTTACAAGAACAATTTGGAGGGCATTCTTTCTAAAGACTGCTTGATTTGCACAAGGAAGTTTTAAATGTTTGTGAATGTGAAAAAAAAAAAAAAAAGCAAGCAGGAAGCAGAGGAGGCGAGTTTCAGGTGATCCGCGTTGCTACCTAAACTCCAGCTGGGACTTTTTACATGCTCCATTTTAGATCAAGCTTTTTTTTTCCTGCCTCTATTTTCTCACATCTTTCTAGTTTTCATTGAGATGATTGGTTTTTTTTTTCTCTTTATATTGTCTTTGCAAAATTCTTAACTATATGTAAAGCAGGAAAATATTTAGTTTGTTTAAATGTCTCCATCTCTCTCTTTATGTGTTTAAAAAAGGCAAAAACTATGTAGCAAACAGACGACCGACACTTTCCAGAGTGATCTCACAGTGACTGCTGCTGAACGAGGGGTTGTGGGATGTTTGGGAGGGCACAAGTGAAAATGTGTTGTAGTCTTAAAAACAAAAGCTTGTTTTAACACTAACTCTAGAGAGGTGTTTATTTTTATTTTTTGTCCTTGTTTTTTTGGCTGGATCAAAAGTTTTGTCCTTTAAGCAGTTAATATTGTTACAGTTCAGTGCAGAGACCAAAGTTGGCATGGGGAGGACTTTTTTTTTTGTTTTGTTTTTTTACTTTTTGTGATAAAATTGGCTCATTGAAATTATACTTAATACACCTTGTTTGCAAACTACATAAAATAGTTTGGATCTATGTCCTGTGAATGGAAGCTTCACTTGTACCTTTTTTTTTTTTTTTAAGAACCAAAAATCACAGACACAGTTGACAAAGCACTTAGAAATGACAAGCCCCAAATTTGAAAGAACAACAGCTCGTGATTTAACTAATGTGACCTCTTAATGCTTAATTGGATTTGTGTACCTGTCAAACATATGTTCAAAAAAAAGTTCAGCAAGCGGGAGCAGTGTCAGAGCAGATGTGCTTTAGTACGTAACTTGAAAAAAAAAAAAAAAGTGCAATCCAGCTTTTGATGGTAGAGAAGTGGTCTGTCAGAGAGAGAAACAAACTGCTCTCAGTGGCATCAAAAAGCGATAATCACTTGAACCTTTTGAAGAATTTCCTTTTAAAAAAGCATCTTTATTGCTTAGTGCTTCTCTTTTTTTAGCAGGTTGACTCATTCTGTATCAGAAAAGAGAAAATACACTTTTCATTATTTGGCTGCCTGTTGGTTTTAATGTCACACAATAAAACCTTGATGAAAAGATATTCAAAGCTATATGCACAATATTCACTGTCAGTACCTCAGTTATATCACTTCCTGTTTTTTGTTGGGCTTCTGGCATGCAGGTGTCCAGTTGAGTAAGTCCAATTATTATTATTTTTTTTTTTTTTCTTAGTTTTCCCCTTTTTACAATTTGGTCGTATGTTGAAAGAGCTACAGCAGACTGATACAGTTTTACAGGCCATTAACCAGCACAGACAGCCCTCACCCACCACTGCAACTACCCAACTCACTCAATGCACAGCATGCTGCATTAGAAAGCAGCATATAGTGAATTCAACAGAAAACTTAATGACATTATTTGTCAAAACACTCTAATGGCAATTCCTAACTATTTTATGTTTTGGCAAATTGGTGACGAATTCGAACAATTGTTCCTTTTTCTACGATGTGCTTATACCTCATTTACAATTAATTAGGTTTGGGTTGGAACTTCATCCTTTTTTCTAAAAATTATACGTTTTCAAATGAATCAACGTAAAACTTCATACAAAGTCGGCAAATCATAAAATAGTTGTGTTTTCTCATGAGACTGTTATTAGTTTCTGAAGTGATCTCTGTTATTTGAGACGGAAAACTTTAGTTGGAGTCTTTTGTTGGATGGTTGGTGGGTTAGTTTGGTGATGATGGGAACCAGCCAGATCAGCTGTTGACATGAACTTACAACCTAGAGTCCTAATGAAAACCACATGCAGACAGGGCAACTGATGGAGGTTTTTCCTATCCACTATTCATTTCAGTTGCTCTTTCGTTTGCCGTTGCAAATGACTGCGGTTTTCTTGGGTTTGATTGGGTGTTACTGGCAGAACTCAGTGTTCTTGTCTTGTCTGATCAAGCATCGCTGTGGCACGACCTGAACTCGTTCGTAATTCAGAACATGCTAGCCTCAGCAGATCAGCTGCTTGACTTTAGTTCTGTGTGTGCCACCGTTCACGATTACGTCTTTGCAGCCTTGGTGTTGCCATCTTTTATGTGGAAAGTTTTTGGTTACTATGTTCTATAGCATAGGTACAGCTTTATTTTCATTTTATTCTATCCTCTCAATGTTTTGAGTTTCGGATTAATGTTTTTTGTTTTGTTTTGTTTTTTGAAGCCGGGCCCCAGATGGGCCCCCTGTCTATTACTTGAACTCTTGCATCACTCACCGTTGAATGTCTTTAATACATAGATGCATTTATTAAAACACAGGAAATCCCTTTTATGGCATGAGTGGATAGAGTATAAACTTGTTTATTCTTAAGACTGGAACTCAACTTGTGTGTACTGTTGAAAGTAAAGGGGCTTATTTATGTTCACAGAGCTCAAAAATGATTATTGGAGTCCAGTATAGCACACATCATATTTGAAGAGTTTGAGTCATTTACTAGACTGGTCACAAAGTTATTTTGTGTTAAACAATTCAGGCCATGTTCGTACATGATGATATTGATTGAATTGTTTTGGAAAAAAAAAAAAAAAGTTTTAATTACTTTTTTGCTATGATTATTAGCATTTTGCTAGGCATCGAGACCAAAGCTTTAAGTTTGGTTCATTTTATTTTCTTAATGTTGTGTCTTAGTTTTTGGGTTGCTATCGATAGCCCCTCACTTGTCTGGCAAAATAACAATGTCTTTATTACTGTTCACATATTGAAGGGTTCACTGTGGAGGGACTGGGGGTCCATTTTCTGCCATTTAAAAAAAAAAAAAAGAGACTGATGACAATTTGTTTACCTAAATGAAATGTAGTTTTGTTAAGCCTCAAAGTGAACAGTGTCCTAAAGCTAAAGTTCATTTTTGCACTCACTTATTTGTAAAAGCTAAATGCTGTGTGTGTGTGCGCGTGCGTGCGTGCCTTCATAGTTATTCCTTGTTATTAATTTGTCCATTAGGTCACTAAACCACCTCTAAAGTTACCAAAACCAAGTGTTTCTATGCCTCTTTTCTTTACAGAATAGTCTTGCATTCAGCTGCAGTCATTGTTGCTTTTTCTTTCGGTGTTATAAAATCCATATAAAGAAAACACAACCCTATACCACACAGAAATGTATGGTTTGTTTAGGGAAAAATGTGATTGTCATTCTCTGCAGGGCAGAAAGCAGTGGGGCTTGTTGGCTTTCTTTGTTCCTATACTAATGAAATATTTTGTTTTTCTTTTTTCTTCTGAAAGTTTTCAGGGACATAAAAAGCATTGCATTGGGAATTCGTATGAGAGACATTTACTAAAGTGCTTTTTTTTTTTTTGTATTGAAGTGGAAATGGGGGAAGCTCACACGTTATAAGAAGCCGGCAGAATCAACAGTGCATTGCTTCCAAAGCTCAGAGGGTTTGGACATGTACCAAAACAACCTTTCTTGACTCATAGCCGCTTGCGTTTTCAGTTAGACTCTGTACAAAGCAGGTGTTATGACTAGAAGACCTGGCTAAGGTTATTTCCGGACTGTTAACTAGCACTGGCTATTGCTCATTGTGCAATTCTGCAAAGTTTTATTTGCAGTCAGGTTTGAGTATGTTGTGATTCTCATTGGGGGTCTTTTGTGTTCTTACCACAGCTGTCCCACCATGATATCCAGCACATTTCTTATACATATATTAAAAATATAACTAACAAAGGCTTTCAAAAAATGAAAAAGAAAAAAAAAATGTAAAAAAAATAAATGAGAAAAAAAAAGTACAACTAAAAAAAAGATGTGGAACAAAAACTGTTAATTGTCTGTTTATGGTGCAGTCAAATATAAATTTTAATAGAGCTTATGAAAAAAAGTCTGCTTTTTCAGCTGAAATAAGTTGGAGCCCTTTGCTGCAGTGACTAAAAGCAAAATGATGCTCACAAAAACTGAGACAGAGGAGCTGAAGCAATAGACAACAGTGTGTTCAGTACCGTTTGCACAACCTGTACCGACTCAGTAACATATAAATGCATCTCACCTGAGACCTTTAAATGTGTTTTCTTCACACTCAGACCTTACTGACTGAATACTCACTTTTATTCTGCATAAATCTAAATATTTCCTTAACACCAGCAGTTTTCATCTCTGGACTTTTATAGACTCAGCTTGAGCAATAAGCCACGGGCTCTCGATGTCCAAAAAAAAAAAACATACTGCAATGAAAATAATCGTGTTGCTCCGGCCCCGGTCCATTTATGCTTCTATAGCGAGTGTTTCATGTCTTCTTAGACAAGTTATGGCACAAAAGGACATAATATACTTCGCTCTGCATGTAGAGAACAAGAAATGACAGAAATCCTCTGTCTCAGTATTTGAAACTCATTGTTGCTTCAGACTTATCGGTATGCTTCAGTTATGATTTCCACCACGAAACATTTTCTTGTATCTGTTACGATAGTTTGTATTGGTTGTAGACGCTCCATTTGTTATGAGGTGAACATGTATATACTCAATGGAACTCCACAATATTCAGTTCTCTTGCAGAATAAAGAAAATATTTTGTTCAAGTCTCTGCCCTTGCGTATTTTTCTCATTTGTGGGTTCAGGAGTTCTCATTATTGGTTATAGCCTATAATGTAAATGACTTAAGTAAACATACTTCAGATTTAAAAGGCTGCACATTTGCTGCATAAATTGTAGTTTACTAATTTTTGAAACTTTAGGGGAAAACAAGCTACATGTATTCATGTACATTTAGTGCAATCTCTAACTTTTTTCCTTAAAATATGGATCAACACTGTTAGATAAACAAATAGAGGTGTCCTTGTTACAGTGTACTTATACATATAAGTACTGAGTAATATTAATTAACTACATGTACTTATATAGTTAGGGTTAGGATTTGGGTTTGGCTTAGCGATACTTGCATGTAATTATGCATAATTAATTGTTATTATAACAGTAAGTACATGTAACGCGGACACATTCAAATAAAGTGTTACCGAAATGTCAAATATTTAGTATAAAATATAATTCACTTTAATGAATGGTGACTAGAATGGTTTCAAACTGATTTTCAGCTACATCTATTGATTTGTCTCCATCACCAGACTGGATTGGCAGTTTATGGTGTTGACTAATCATAACATTTTAGTTTTCTGGTGTCATTAGCTAATAATAATAATAATAAACATTTCAAATTAGGAAAATTATCTAAAGGTCCAAAACAATTTCTTCACATTTTGGGTGTTGGCAAAAATAGAAGATACCTAACATTATGACACCACTATGTCTATAAAAAGCACTATGACACTCACCAGAGCCTGTGTGACCTTGTCAAGGACCCTCAGGCTGTAAACTTACTTTTAGTATTGCCTGATTTTACAAACGCTTTCATAAATATCAGCCTGTGTTGACAGAAAATACACAGCTGTGAAACCAGTTATATGTGCTGTATTTTAAAATTAAAAGAACAGTGTGTACTATGTCCTGGTTAAAGATGCATACATTTCTGCTTTAAGTTTAAAATATATTGCTATCTATGTACAAAGCACTGAAGTAAGCTCAGGGGACAGATGCTTTTAAAGAAAAGGATAACGTCATAATATCAAGTAAAAAATAAATAAATAAAATGGTGCTTTTTGATTAAATTCAGATTAATTTCAAAGTAAATATTCCTATTTTTAAAACAAATGTCTCAAGAACCAGTGGGCTGTGGAAACCCGCATTTGTTTTGGTAGAGAAAGTCTGATATTATTCCTGGAGCCGATCATTTGGCCTTCATGCATGTCCAGACTGTTCTGACCTGCTCATGACTCTGGATCAAGGGCTAAGCTTTGGCGAAGTCCTCTGAGCCAAGTCTTTATCAGTCAGCACTGTGATACACTTTGTGCTAAGACTGTCACAATAAACACAGCTGTAATTAATGATAAACGAAAACATCAAATTCAAGGCATTCGTCCAGCTGCATGGATGATCTTCACAATGTGATCTGATCAGTGTTGGGGGTAACGCATTACAAGTAACGCGAGTTACGTAATCAGATTACTTTTTTCAAGTAACTAGTAAAGTAACGCATAAAAATAACGCAAAAGTAACAATGCATTACTTTCCATAAAAAATAACTAAGTAACGTAATTAGTTACTTTTTTTATGGAGTAACGCAATATTGTAATGCATTACTTTTAAAAGTAACTTTCCCCAACACTGGATCTGATACAATCTCTGGACTTGTTCAGAGGCTACTTGAAATACTAAAAAGGCTTCAATGGTTTTTCAGGTTCTCTGCATATCTCACAACCTCAGTATATTTAACAGATGCTTTCATTTAAAAAATGGAATGCCCTACAAAATATAACTTTTATTATAATAGCAACCTAACTCTCTTTAAGCAGTTTTGCACATGAGCAAAGCTGCTAGAACAGAAATAATGCATACAGCAGACCCAGAAGTCATTGTGAGTGTCTTATCTGGCCCTGGCAGGCTCATTAAACTTGATGTAAATCGTTGTTAATGGAGATGAGAGGTGCTGACAGCTCATATTCGTTAATCTATAAAGGCCAAGGGGCAGCTGATTTTTACATCCTTTATCAACTGTACTCGTCCAGTGGGAGCGTGGGGTCATTGGGTAGGATGGAGTTTGAGCCCCCTGTGTCACCTTGTTAGAACTTTAGAAAACACAATAATAGCAAAATCAATAGCCTCCAAGTCATGCTGATCGATAATATCATGAGTTGATAGTTTCAGTTATTAAAAGGTGAAGTTTCCCTCAGACCTCACCCTAAATATTAATCTGTGATTTGATTGTTTTGCTGAACTCATGAAGTTTTTTTTTTTTTCCCAGTGCTACTTCAGTTGTGTAAATATGATCACAAAAACTGTAACCTTTGAAAACTGCCACCAAGGCATTTTTCAGTTCTGTCAGAAATCACTGCGAGACACATTTGAGTCATCTCACCTCCCAACAGACCATCGCTTTGGGCACTAACCTTGCCTTCACATCTACTTTGGAAGTTCCCAAGACGAAAAGTCCTATGTAGACCATTTCCGTCATCTTATTCATATGCGGTTGACTGGCTAAATGGCTGAGCCAGCTGAGGTTCCCAGAAAAATCATGGCACTATCTGCAAGAGACAGAGTCCATGGTGAGATTTTCTTGATGTGCTGTATGTGGCTAACAGAAAACAGAGATAGAAACACTTCAGGCTTAATCTATTTTGTGTTATTTTGGTGCTATTGTGATTTTGAATCAATTAATTAAATTAAAATCACTAAAGTTATTGCAAAGATTAGACAAATATCAATGCAACAATTTTAGGGGAATAATTTTACAAAGTTATAGTCTATGTTATAAATGTATGTAGTATTTTATTACAGTCCACAGCCGTAAAACTCACCTTGTACAATAAATCTTGACCATGCAATTTCTCAGTGGGAAACATATTTCTGATTTGTCTGATAGCACTTCAGACTAGGTTTGTCCTTGGTTTGTTGATTGGAGGTAAACATCCAAACACTTAAAAAAAGATAGAGACATACTTTAAAATGTGACTGTGCTAAAATGGGATTAGAATGATGCAGCTAATCAGTTTAGTTACCTTGAAATATCCATATTTTTTGGAGTGATTCCTACTCGCCATGATCAAGCTATCCAAATAGTTTCCTGCTGATTACAATCAAATAATTCAATTATCTAATTAGTCATTGCATCATCCTTTTACCTAATGGGCGCACATTAGATCTCTCTCTCTTTCTCTCTGTGTACAGCCCACAGGCAACATTCAGTCCTAATGAAAAAATAACTTCATAGTTTTCCATGCCTTGATCCTTCCATTATTTCATATCCATACAAAGTTTCCTTCATTTCAAATTAAATGTTGACTTTGTTTTGGTGCCCGGCCGAGGCAGATGTGGACTGTATGAAGACAGTGTGTGAAGCCTGTTCAGCGACTTCCTTTCTCTGACAGGTTATGGGTTTTGGAATTCGCTGCCAATCCTATCACATTTCCCTCTGAGCGCTTCAAATATCTCGCACAGGAGACTGACATAGAGGAACTGTATTTCTCCACATCCCTCCATTGGTTGTGCTGACTCGTGTGCTGAAAATGCTGCCTATAAAATGCATGGAAAAGAATGAGAATATCAATATTGGAGACTAGCCTAACTAACAATAAGTAGACAGTTTAGTAGAATTTAACTACATTTCGCAGTAGCATGAAAGTAATTCTGTTTTCAAAAGAATGGTTATTGTTGACTACAACTAAATCGTATAAAAATCGGTAACTAAAATAAAGCTGAAATAAAATAAATAATAAATAATAGATTAAAGACTAATTAATGCTATAAAGAAAGAATAATTATAATAAAATATATAGAATATTTAGATACAAATATTTATATGAAAATATAAATATTTATGTTTCTAAATATAAAAAACAAAAACTAATAACTAACTTAAAATGACAAAAGCACACAGATTTGCTGTACATACACTAAAATTTAAATGAAAACTGAAAAAAGCTAATTAAAAATATTACGTATTATAAAACTATATAAATAATACTAAAATAACTGTTTAAAAATGTGTTTCTTCCAGTAATAAGCCATTAACTCCAAACAATTAGCAATGTAGCACAACAAATTATCATCATTATTATTATTAATTTGCCACCCTAATTAATATGAGCTGATTAAATTATTATAAAGTGAACACTATGACACTCACCACAGCCTGTGTGAGCCTGTGATATAAACGGAATTTAATATTGCCTGATTTTACAAATGTTTTCATAGATATCAGACAGTGTTAACACAGAAAGTATATGGTCACAGCTGTGAAACAGCTAGATTTTATTTCAGTGAATAGTATTTTAACTACTGAAATCATGATTAGCTTGATTAGCATAGCAAACTAGTTTCAAAGTAGCATCCCTAGTAGGCCTACTAGAAAACAGGTAATAAATAATGCAAAGAAAGTGATAAAAGTGATCACACTTTTTCCTCAAACTGCCTAGCCTGTTATTCCCACACAGAGGTTGGAAGATAGTTTATATAGTGATACTGGACAATTTTCGTTTGACTGTAGTTTTGGCATCCTCACAGATGATCCATTCAGTCGGTTTCTTCAGAAGTGAGCAGTCAGGAAGTACAGGTGACATGTGTCAGACTGTTCTGGCAGCCCAAGGCCTCGACTACTCCCAGCTAAGAGAGAAGAAGCTGTCTGCATCTGAAGCCTCTTCACTTATAGCACTCATATCTCTCCAAACATCATGACAAGGATCTTTCCAGCTCCAGACAGACAACCTTCAGAGAAAGGTCTGTGCTGAACCTTGCTTGACGGGATGCAGACCCCCGTGTGCTGTCAGCTATCATAAACAAGGCCTGAGTTCTGATTAATGTGTGTTCATAAAACGACTCACTGCTGATGTGACTGAGGGCAATCAAAGTTTATACACATTAGCATCTGTAAAATGCTAATAAAATGACATGTAACTAAAGCTGTGCTCATGAGTCATCATCACTCTGGGCATTACTGGTCAAAGTAGCACAAAGTTTCCGTTAGAAGACATTGCATAGAGTAGTTCACCCAAATAAATAAATTTTGCCATTTACTTGCTCTTACGTCACTCCAAACCTATCGAACTTTCTTTTGTTTGTGGAAAACAAAGAGAGAATTTCTGCAGAATATCCAGACTTCTCTTTTCCAAGTAATAAAAGTCAATAGGGACTTGGGCACAGCTTGTGAGTAAACTTTTAAAACTTTCTCAAATGTAAATTTTACATGAACTACAGTTCTGCTGGGAATGCTTCTGCTGGCAAGTTTTGATCTTTACAGCAATGTTTCTAGAGGCACACATTTCCTTTCATCAGGTTCTGGAGTTGGATGTTGCCAAAGCATAAATCCAGTGAAAAGAGACTGATTAAGAAAAACAGAGAGAGTGTATAAAGGGGGGGTGTAGAAAGTGAGTAAAAGGGAAAGGTGGATATTGGTGTTGGCAGAGGAGCTGCAGATGTTGGCAGGAGCGGAGGAAGGTGGTGGAGGAATGGAAAAGAGAGCCCAGCTTTGCAGATATCTCCAATAAAAAGGAAGAATAATCACATGCTCACGTTTGATAAGACAGGAGTCTGTGACTCCTATTGGGTCAAGGTCAAGGGTGGTACAGCACGACGCCCGCCAATTGTGGTTGTTGTCTCAAACTAATTTTTGTGAAGCAATAAAAATATGTTAAACAAAAGTTTACTTTTATATATTTTAGGTATAAAGTATATTAATTTGAGCAAAAGTTAAAAGCTAAAATGTACATACACTACTCTTTGGGGTCTGTAAAAGTTTTAAGGTTTTTTTTTTTTTTTAAGTCTTAAGTCTTTTTTTTTGCTCACCAAGGCTGCATTTATTTGATCAAAAATACAGTAAAACTGTAATATTGCGAAATCTTATTACACATTAAAATAACTGTTTGTATTTTAATATATATTTAATATAAATATAATCTAATTTAGCCTCTTAATGTTTTTGTGGAAATGGTGATAATTTTTTTTCAGGAATCTTTGATGAATAGAAAGTTCACAAGAACAGCATTTGTTTAAAGGAGACATATTATGCCCCTTTTTACAATATGTAATATAAGTCTCTGGTGTCCCCAGAATGTGTCTGTGAAGTTTCAGCTCAAAATACTCCACAGATCATTTATTATATCATTTTGAAAATGCCTATTTTGAGTGGAAGCAGAAACACTTGTTTTTCGGGCCTGTGTCTTTAAATGCAAATGAGATGCTGCTCCCCGCCCCCCTTTCCAGAATAGAGCTGCGTCATTACAGCTCGTACCTCCTAAAAACAGGAGGTACTGGTTTTGGTTTTGATTATCATGTTTATTGCGCTGAAATCATGCGTTTTAAACCATATAAGTTTAAACTTAAAAAAAAAGGTTTTCTGAGCGCACACATCCGAAGCACAC